CACACTGGAAGATTTAAAACTCACATTGAAAGAAAAACAAAACAAAACACCATACTCTTTGAAATGAAATGTAAGCATTACATTCACTTCAATTCACTTTAGGGTTTTGCTGCACAAGTAGGCAGTCTTCGGTCTGAAATGGTTGCCTAGGTGAGCCAATGTTAGCAATTGCACAGTTATTGCAGCAAAGTCAGTTTTCTGAAACATCATAGACTCAATGGTAAACATGCAACTGAGTTAAAAAAACATGTGCTGCTTGGAAGCCTGTGCCTGCAACTGGTTATTGATCAATAAACAACCATCTTTTCAGGAAAGCCTTACCAGTTAAGAGGAGAAAACTCACAAAAATGAACCAACAATACACCAAAAGTGCCATGGACACCACGGCGGGTGGATCAAGTATTGATACTGTAAGCCAAGAACTAACCTGCCACTTTAACACAAGACTAAAACACAGAGGTCGAAGAAGTACTCACATTATTCACTTAAATAAAAGTAGCAAAACTAAAAATACTCTGTTACAAGTTTAAGTACTGCATTCAAAATTGTCCTCAAGTAGAAGTAAAAAAGTATTAGCACTAAAATATACTTAAAGTACCAAAAGTAAAAGTACTCAGTAGGCTATGCAAAAGGACACATTTAAGCACCATATGCAAATTATTGTATTATAATTATTGATGCAATAATTTCTTCATCACTTGGTAAAAGTGGGGTTTATTTGAATGACTTTATATAATACTGGGTAGCTTAACCTATAATCCATCCATCCATCTTCTCCCGCTTATCCGTGGTCGGGTCGCGGGGGTAGCAGTTCCAGCAGAGAGCCCCAAACTTTCTTTTCCCTGGCGACATCAACCAGCTCTGACTGGGGGATCCCAAGGCGCTCCCAGGCCAGCGAAGAGATATAATCCCTCCACCTGGTTTTAGGTCTACCCCTTGGTCTCTTCCCAGCTGGACGTGCCTGGAACACCTCCCTAGGGAGGCGCCCAGGTGACATCCTAACTAGGTGCCCGAACCACCTCAACTGGCTCCTTTCGACGTGAAGGAGGAGCGGCTCAACTCCGAGTCCCTCCCGGATGACCGAACTTCTCACCTTATCCCTAAGGGAGACACCAGCCACCCTGCGGAGAAAACCCATCTCGGCCGCTTGTATCCGCGATCTCGTTCTTTCGGTCATGACTCATCCTTCATGACCATAGGTGAGGGTAGGAACGAAAATGGCCCGGTAGACAGAGAGCTTTGCCTTCTGGCTCAGCTCCCTTTTCGTCACAACGGTGCGGTAAAGCGACTACAGTACCGCTCCCGCTGCTCCGATTCTCCGGCCCATCTCACGCTCCATTGTTCCCTCACTCGAGAACAAGACCCCGAGATACTTGAACTCCTTCACTTGGGGTAAGGACTCATTCCCTACTTGGAGTGGACAGTCCATCGGTTTCCTGCTGAGAACCATGGCCTCAGATTTGGAGGTGCTGATCCTCATCCCAGCCGCTTCACACTCGGTTGCGAACCGATCCAGTGAGTGCTGAAGGTCGCAGACCGATGAAGCCATTAGAACCACATCATCTGCAAAAAGCAGTGGTGCAATCCTTAGTCCACCGAATTGCAGACCCCCTCCCCCATGATTACGCCTCAAAATCCGATCCATGTATATTACAAACAGGATTGATGACAAAGCGCAGCCCTGGCGGAGGCCAACCCTCACCGGAAATGGGTCCGACTTACTGCAGAGGAGCCGGACACAGCTCTCGCTTTGGGAATACAGAGATTGGATGGCCCTGAGTAGAGACCCCCTCACCCCATACTCCCGCAGCACCTCCCACAGTAACTCCCTGGGAACTCGGTCAAACGCCTTCTCCAAGTCTACAAAACACATGTAGACCGGATAAGCGTACTCCCAGGCCCCCTCCAGGATCCTTGCGAGAGTAAAAAGCTGATCCGTCGTTCCTCGACCAGGACGGAATCCGCATTGTTCCTCCTCAATCTGAGGTTCGACAATCGGCCTGACCCTCCTTTCGAGTACCTTAGAGTAAACTTTCCCGGGGAGGCTAAGTAGTGTGATGCCTCTGTAATTGGCACACACCCTCTGATCCCCCTTTTTGAAAAGGGAACCACCACTCCGGTCTGCCACTCCTTCGGTACTGTTTCCGACTTCCACGCAATGTTGATGAGACGTGTCAACCATGACAGTCCCTCAACACCCAGAGCCTTCAGCATTTCGGACAGTTTTCCAGAACAACTTTGGTGCCGCCCGAAAGTCCTTCTCCATGTCTTCTCCGAACTTCTCCCACACCCGCTGCTTTGCCTCGGCCACGGATGAGGCTGCTGCCCTTCGGGCCTGTCGGTACCTTGCAACTGCCTCGGGAGTCCCCCGGGATAACAAATCCCTGAAGGCCTCCTTCTTCAGTCGGACGGCTTCCCTGACCACCGGTGTCCACCAGGAGGTTCGAGGGTTACCGCCCCTTGAGGCACCTAGGACCTTGAGACCACAGCTCCCCGCCGCGGCTTCGGCAATAGAGGCTTTGAACACCGACCACTCTGGTTCAATGTCCCCAACCTCCACAGGAATGCCCGAAAAGCTCCGCCGGAGGTGTGAGTTGAAGGCCTCCTGAACTTGGGCCTCCTCCAGACGTTCCCAGTTCACCCGAACTACACGTTTGGGCTTACCAGGTCTATCCAGAGGCTTCCCCCGCCACTCGACCCAACTCACCACCAGATGGTGATCAGTTGACAACTCCGCCCCTCTCTTTAACCGAGTGTCCAAAACATACGGCCTCAGGTCCGATGATATGATAACAAAATCGATCATGGACCTTCTGCCTAGGGTGCTCTGGTACCACGTACACTTATGTTCGAACATGGTGTTTGTTATGGCCAATCCATGACTAGCACAGAAGTCCAGTAACAAACCACCACTCCGGTTCAGATCAGGGGGGCCGTTCCTCCCAATCACGCCCCTCCAAGTGTCTCCATCATTGCCCACATGTGCGTTGAAGTCTCCCAGCAAGATTAAAGAGTCCCCTTCAGGAGCCCCATACAGGACTCTTTCCAGGGTCTCCAAGAAGGCTGTATACTCTGAACTGCTGTTGGGTGCATAAGCACACACAACAGTCAGAGTTTTCCCCCCCATAACCCGCAGGCGTAGGGAGGCGACCCTCTCGTCCACTGGGGTAAACTCCAACAACGAAGCACCCAACCGGGGACTTGTGAGTATCCCCACACCCGCCCGCCCCGGTGCCTCACACCTTGAGCAACTCCGGAGAAGAATAGAGTCCAACCCCTATCCAGAAGTAAGGTTCCAGAGCCGACGCTGTGCGTAGAGGTGAGCCCAACCAGATCCAACTGGTAACGCTCCACCTCCCGCACAAGCTCCGGCTCCTTCCCCCCCAGAGAGGTGACGTTCCACGTCCCCAAAGCCAGCTTCTGTCGCCCGGGTCTGGTCCGTCGAGACCCTCCGCTTTCACTGCCACCCTTCTGGCAGCGCACCCGACCCCATCGCTGTTTCCCGTAGGTGGTGGGCCCGCAGAACGGAGAAGCGGAGGTGTTGCCCACGTTGCCTTTTCGGGCTGGGCCCGGCCGGGCTCCGTGGCAAGCCCGGCCACCAGACGCTCGACGACGAGTCCTCCTTCTGGGCTTGGCTCCAGAAGGAGGACCCCGGGCTTCCTCCGGGCCGGGTATCCTCACTTCTTGTGTCGTCTTTCATGAGGTCTTTTGAACCAATCTTAGTCTGGCCCCTTGCCTGAGACCAATTTGCTATTAACCTATAATAGTATATAATAATGAATTAGTTGATTCAAAATGTATATTTGTAATCTAAATGTGCAAAGTAGCAAATAACTAAATCTGTAAAATAAAAAGGTAGTGCAGTAAAAACTACATTTGTCTGCAAAATGTCTCAGAGTAAAAGTATAAAGTAGGATAACATGAAAATACTCAAGAAGAAAAGTAAAAGTAGCCTACCTCAATGTTTTACTTGAGTAAATGTAATTAGGCTAGTTACATTACAGTACCATTGCCAAAACATCAACAGGGCAGAAAACAGCGATGGATAAAGAATATAAACTCAACAGCAGCTACGTACAGCCCACAAACACACGCATTAAAGCAGAGAATAGACCCTAAACATGGCATAACATGGCATTTATGGGCATCACACACACCAATAATCACTATGGAATATGGTGGTTGTTGACAGCGCCATGTTTGTACAGTGGTTTGTTGTTGTACTCACCGCGAAGTACAACAGGAAATATAACCCGTCAACCCAGCCTCTTTCTTCCCAGGTTCTCAGACTCAAACTGCACAAAAGTCCTCACCAATACATCACTGAATGTAAAATAAAATAAAAAGAGTAAACCCTGGAGTATCCGCAAGAAGAATGTTAGCATTTAGCTATAGCGTCTTAGCTACACCCATAATGCACCTGCAGGCATCCATGTGGGTTTGTTTGATTTGGTTACATTGCTGTCCTGGCCGGGTGGTGCATTTATGCAAATGAGGGATTCAGCTAAATGCTAATTAGCAATAGTTCAGCATGCTACCTTCCTACCTTTTAATGGAAATAATACTGCTAACATGCAGTAGTGGAAGAAGTATTTCAGAACCAATACATGTATGTCAAAATATTCCATTACAAGTAAAAATCCTGCATTTAAAATCTCACTGTAGTTAAGTACAGTACAGTTAGAGTAAATGTACTTAATTACTTTCCACTTCTGCTAACTTGCTAAAGTTTAGCAGGTGTAATTCTTACAATTTTCACACTTAGCTTTGAGCTACATTGGCTCATTAGCACAAAACACAACTGAGGCTAGAGGGGGTACTGGATTTTATTTAAAATTTAAAATACAGAAAGCAGTGTAATACTCCACTACATTAAAAGAGTATGTATATAAATGTGATCTGCAAAATGCGCTTCAAGTATCTAATGGAAAAAATAGCCTACAGTATACTCTGTAGTCAATTCAGTCATTCACTATTTAAAAGAAAAAACCACACAGTGCTTTTTATCGTTTCATTCAGTTTTATTACAAACAGAAAATAAAAGAAAGGAAAAAAAGGTGATGCGTCATCATTGACAAGTTTCACTGCCATTTGAGCGGCACCACTACATACACAGTAACACAAGATACCCAGAAATGAACACAAAATCTGGAGAGAGGGCAAAGTAAAAGTGAAAAAAAAAATGTAAGTGCTTTAAACATTTTAGTTCAGGGGTTGCAAAAACATTTGTATATGTAACATAACTCATAAAATGGTCTGAGACTACTTCCTGGGACGATAAATGTAAAATGTCTGGGATTTATGAGATAAATTAATCCCTACAGTAGCTATCGTTTGTTTTTAACTTAAAGCAGACTTGGATTTACAGGTTGACATCAGGTTCTAAATTCAGTTGAATGATTTTACATTTGTTCAGCTATGTTTATTAAGGCGATTTTTAATGATGCTTTATATAAAATGAGTTTCAAGCCTTGTAATAATAACCGTGTACTTTTACTTGGGTTACATAGTATACGTTATCTTTCTGCTCAAAGAGGCATTAAGGGTAACATATGGCCTATTTTCTATATATGTATGTCATTTGCAAGCCCCAAATCTAAAAAACAATTGATAAAAACAAGTTTTCTTGCAATATATCTACCTCTGAAGTTAGCTCAACTTCTTCGTTTGCGTTCTCTTGTAATCATAGGACAAAACATTGCAAAAAAGGTGCGTTTGTGTGTTGCGCATACTGAATCGTTTTTTCCCGTTACAAAAAAATGCATCTTTTGGTAGAAGCTCTTTCTCGAAAAGCAACAACGAGAACACAAAACGACAATAGTCATAATCATGAGAGTAAAAACACAAGAGAACACGAATGAGCTGCTTAAATATGCAAAGTATATCACAGGATTTTGTAGAAAGAAATAGAAACCTGGGGGAGTTAAAGAGGAGTGTTCAGGGTGATCAACAGGTTTAATAACACTGACTTGCTTTATGAAAAGGTTATAAACATTCATTGGAGGTTTCCCCAAAAAAAATAGCATTGTAGCGAACCCCCAAAATACCTCAAAGCTCCTTACATAACTAGAACCAGGGAAGCGGCGGCAAATACCTAATGTGGTCTAACGAGTCCTGAATATAATTATCATATCATACCTTGCTGCGTGTGTTTGTATCTGAACATGTATTTATCACTAAAAGAAATAAAAAAGCTGTGCTTGGAGCTGCTCAGACTGAGAAACTGGGAGAATTAGAAACAGTATTAAAACAACTGTAGGCACAGCTTGACACCATTTTTTTCCCCTTTCCACAAGACAGCTTTATTGTGATTAAAACATGCTTCAGGGGATGGAGTTTGAAATGATCTTAGTTTCACATGCAGCTTCCTGTCGAGGGGAGGAGGAGGAGGAGGAAGGTTACATGGTCTATTGAGAGATCTAAAAGGTTTCTAGGGTTGAGGTGGGTTGAGCGTTGTGTGTGTGTGTTTGTGTGTTTCTTTGTGTGTGTGTGTATGTGTGTGTGTGTGTGTGTGTGTGTGTGTGTGTGTGTGTGTGTGTGTGTGTGTGTGTGTGTGTGTGTGTGTGTGTGTGTGTGTAGATGAGGTTAGAAGCATCCTAAGGGGAGGAGGTGGAGGAGGAGGAAGCCTGCGTGAAGAGGCCCCGCTTATGAGGAGTATAATGGTTTGAGGCAGACGAGAAAAGGTCACAAGAAGTTAAGAGACGATATTGGAGTGTATGTAATGCAGGTCTCTCTGTGTGTGTGTGTGTGTGTGTGTGTGTGTGTGTGTGTGTGTGTGTGTGTGTGTGTGTGTGTGTGTGTGGACATTAAGTGCACATGTGCATGAGTGTGTGTAGTGTAGCTTGTCAGGGAAAGTTTTAGAAGATCTGTCAATACGTTTTAATACTGGATGTGTTAGCGCAAAAACTTCCTTGAAGATATGTTTGCAGCAGATGGGTTTCCGAGTGTATGTGTGTGTGTGTGTGTGTGTGTGTGTGTGTGTGTGTGTGTGTGTGTGTGTGTGTGTGTGTGTGTGTATGTGTGTGTGAGTGAGTGAGTGTGTGTAGTCTAGTCGTCGATACAGATGACCTCTCCGCTGTGTTGCTCCCGGCGGTTTACTAGCAGCTCCGCTTCACGCTCCTTCTTTACAGACATGGGGGGCCCGTTCAACACTGCAGGGAGAGAGAGATCATCTGAGTCAGTTCAACATGAATTAGTCTTTGTTCTCCGTTCTTATCTGGCAGATTCTCTATGAATCATTGTTCGTACTCACACAGGATCACGCATTTGCAAGTAATACACACATTTAGAAAGTGTTTCAGAACGGCTATTGAACATCTTTTGGGAATTCATGAACCAAAGGCCGAACATCTCTTTTGAGAATGATGAATGTCCAGTAGGTTTCACGTCTGGACATTTGGGTATATACTATTAACACTTAACTACTACTAGTATGGGATGATCTTAATTATACCAAGTAATCCAAGCAGATAGTAGGATTGTTTCCAATGGTGTGTCAAGGTTTAAAAAAGCCCAATTGTGCTTCATTTCCTTTAGTTTGTTATATAGGTTTTGCTGCATGTAAATGGTCTGCACAAGCTAAAATCCCAAAGTCCCTTACAGAGAGTTTCTCACTTGTGCTAGCGCTACAACACATTGTAAGTGACAGGCTAAGAGACGGGACATATCTAAGCAGTGGACCAATCAACAGAGACGACCTGCTAACCAATCAGAGCAGACTGGGCTCTGGTTTCAGACAGAGGGTGAAAAGAGGTTCTGCAGCACAGGCAGTATGAGAAATAAAGAGCTTTTTGAACATTAAAGCATGGAGACACGTCCCAGGAGAGGAAAAACATACAAATATGAACCTGAAAATGAGCACAGGGCCCCTTTGAAGGTGCTCCAGTACGTTTAGGTTATAGTTTCTATAAATATCTGAGGGGGTGAACTGTCAATCATCCTGTTTATTTATGATAATGCAACCAAGGTATCACACTGACTTGCTGAAAGAGAAACTGTATTTAGGCTTGCTTGATAATACTCTGATAACCTTTTTAATGAGCAAACTTGCATAATACAGTACATCAATATATCATATACACACACACACACACACACACACACACACACACACACACAGGCACATGAGGTCACGGACACACAAACGCACACATGCATGACAGATATCTTCTTTCTACACGCCTGCACAGCAGGCAGGCTGAGGGATGTGTGTGTGTGTATCATGAGTTTGCTCGGGGAGTGGAACGGCAAGTTTAGCGCTCCTTTCAAAACAAAGCCAGGAATAGACCAACAGCGCACTTCTCTCAATCGCGCCACGGGGAAGATAAACTGTCATAATACCCCCGTGCTGATCAAAGATGCGATAAAGAGCGTATTGAGCTGAAGGCTGTGACTGTGTGTGTCTCTTCAACAAGAGGGGGGGGACTCATGGGAAAACTTGTGGCATTTTGCCAGTGGAGGCCAACGGAAGGGATAGAGAGAAAGTGTGTGTGTGTGAGAGGAGATTAAATCTGATGAGAAGCAAAACAAATGGAGGTAAAGACCGGGTGAAAGAGCAAGAGGAATTACGGGTGCAGGGCGAAAACAAATATCCAAAAACAGAAGACGGAGTTGATTACATGGAGAAAAATCAGCTCAGGATGGGGAGAAGACTAAATAACGAGCCTGACCGATATGTCGCCGTGGCCAATATACAAAAAGAAAGGACAGTAGAGAAATGCCAAAGATGCGATTACATACGTTGTCCACTAGAGAGCGCTGAACTGTATATTTTCCCGCTAAAATGTTCCGGTTTGTACGTTTTAAGGTCGTCGTTTTTCCAAAAAGAGGATAAATCGATCCTATTCGGAAATGTTTTCGTCATACATTCAGGAAAAAAAACGTAATAGGCGGATATGGCATGGCATGGGGCGGTTTTGTTAGAGCGCTGGTCATCAGATCAAGGGGCGTTGGTGAACTCCAGTTCGAATCCCGCGTCAGGCCGCTGTGTCCTTGGGCAAGACACTTCACCCGCATTTCCTCCTGTGGGTAATGTCCGCAGTAATGACTCTTACATGTCTAATATGTGTAATGTGTAATTGTAAAGCGCTTTGAGCACCTGTAAAAGCGCTCTAATAAAAAATGTAATGCATTATTATTATTATTATTATATATTTTTTAAGTCCTCTATCGATGTCGTAATTAGTTCCTCTCTGAATGAAATACCGGTTGTCACTGTTATTTGCGTAGTCCGTCCTTGATTCAAATCTTTTGCGTGTTTTGGAAAGAGAATCAGTTTTTAAAATGAACGGATTCTTTATTGAAACATGAGTTTGTTTGGCTGCACTGAAAACAAATAAACCTGTTTCTGTTCTGAAGGCATTTCTCACAGAGTAGCTCAAAGAATGCTTATTGGCTTGACAAAATAATCCAGTATGACTTGGCTCTACGAAAAAAAGGCATATAAGGTCAAAGAAAACGTGAAGATAAAACAGGAATTGGATTTAAATGAGACACTTGTTTTCCTACAGATAACAGATTCCATCTGAACTCACTAAGCAAGACTTCACTTCTGTCCAGCCAAACGCAGGTCAGTGTTAGACCGAGAAACACTTTTGAAGTTATGTTGGCAGTGATATTTGCAGTTACAGTAAAGAAAAATATGATAAATTAAACAGACCACATCTGGACTCTAAGAATTCCTAAAACGTAAACCATTATTCTGCTAAAACTCTGGCTCTTGACTGGATGGAGCATCTCAAGTCCAGAAAGGCAATAAAAAACATTCCTGGCCGTAATGTCTCTCCCTGCAGGTCCCGTCTGCTATCTGATAGAAGTGAACGCTGCCATCTTGGCAGGAAATGCTTACCGAAAAGCATTTGCGTGAGCGTGTCTGTGCCAAAAAGCTTTCATCAGGAACAACCGTCTGCATCTGAACGTGTTTGGGAACTAAAGAACAACTGTTTGATTTGAGAGTTGGTCCAACAGAGAGACTTGAGAGAGTTGCGTAAATTCATGTGTTGCAAGAGTTTGAAGGTAAATCAAGGTTATAACTGTAAAACGAATTTGCATCTATGTCTATTGGCGCGTTTCCACTGCAGCGGGTAGCTCGCTTTAGGCGTGCCGAGCCGTGCGGGGCCTGTTTTTGGTTGCGCTTCCACTTGGCCTAGTTTTGGCCGAGGGCTACTTTTTCACCTTTTTTCTGGCCCGACTAAATCGTGGTTCTAGGGCCAGGAACAACCAGGCTGAGTCGGGCTGAGTATGCTAAACTAGAGAGAGAATCGCTGGCAAGGGGGCTACAACTACAACAAGATGAACATATTTGACCGTGATTTAATTGTAATACACGTTTCAAAATGATGCCGAAGTAACAACATACTGATACCGGTTAGTAAAAACCATGAATTAATGCTTTGACAAGTCTGCAGACAGACGGCAGGCGAAAAACCCTTTTAAAATGCGTGCTTTCTAAATGGAGCTTGGCTAAGCTAACGTTATATATGCTCCGACCGTCCACACTCACAACAACGGCCTATACAGACATAAATAAACCAGCGACTGTATTCGCCATGACACAGGCAGTCTGTGGTTTGTACTTGTTTAACTTTTGTCTAGTTTCTGAACAGATATGAAGAGCTGTGAGCTCCGAGTGCTAAGAGCTAACGGCTGTGTTGTTTTTCTGGGGCTCTCATTGAAGATGACGTCACGGCTCCGCCTACACTGCGTTACTATAGTAACTACCCCAGTTCCTAAACTGTAATGGAAGCGCAGCATTAAAGTGAGCCGGGCCTAATAAGGCCTAACCAAACCGAGCGAGGCCTGCAGTGGAAACGCGCCATTAGTCTCTGTTTTCTTTCAAGGCTGGGCTCAGGACCTGAAAGTATCAAAAACTGGTAAGAAATCAAAGTGGGTCAGACTTTTAGTCTTGGCTACTAATCTTTGATCAGATATTTCCAGAAAATCTGTCTTAATTGAGATTTTTGAGCAATTGAGAGCAGCAACACATTGGTATGTTCCCCTATTTAAAAAGGGCTATAGACATGGAGTAATATAATCATTTGGAGTTTTGTTTCTCTCAACCAACTGAGTTCAAAGGTCACCTGTTATGCAAAATCCACTTTTTCCCATCTTTTAAACCTAATTATGTGTCTCCTTTGTGTAAAGAGATTGGGAAAGTTTCCGGATAAAATATTCTCTCTCTTTTTATCCTGATCCATTTGTATAAAAATGGAAATGAGCAGATCAGATTTTGGCCACTTCGTGATTTCACAATGTTTTTTAGAGTTGTGTAACCATTAGCCAATCACGAACCAAGGTAACACCCGCCCACCTTATCACCTGAATCTCCTCCTAGAGCACCATTTTCCTTTTTTTAAACCAATCATAAACGGCAGAGGGGCGTGGCCAGCAGCAGCTCATTAGCATTTAAAGCTACAGACACAGAATCAGCACTTGTGAAACAGGGCTGAAACAGAGGGGTTTGTGGCTACAATGATCTGTTTGGTAGTTCAACCAAGAGACATGTTTTGTATATATCTGAGACCTATAATATATAGTATAATAGGGGACCTTTAAGTGCATTAATCTCTCCTTTTAGCTTCATTTTGGTCTCCACCAACTCCTGAAGGAATGATGCTGCTCTTTAGCTGCTAAATGCTACACTTTGCTCACAAGCGAGTCGCTAACATGGTTTGGTTTTGGGCAAGTAGCGCACAATGGGTTTATAAAACAGCTTCCTTCAGCTAGTTAACAATGTTGATGAGAGCCTTGATACTGAAGTACAAAAAGTGTAAATGCGGTAAAACTGAAAAGACGCTAACGTGTCCTGAAAAGCCGTGAGAAACTTCGGAGTGATATTTCTCATTGGCTTTATCATTATGAGTGAGTCTATTCCCTTTACACATGCTCATTTGATTTATTGTACGTTTATTATAAGCTTTAATTTGCACATTTTAGACGGTAACATTATACAGTACTCAAGCAATTATTGAACGGTTGTGCAAAAACAAAATAAAGTGTGTGAAGTTTAGCTTATTTTGTAACAAAGACATGATAACAGTTTTAATAGCTTATACTCTTATATGTTTATTAGCACCAATATTGAACATTTTAAATAATATCTATTTTAGATTTTAAATGCTAGTGCTACCATGCACATACTCGCATGTATAAA